ATGTGCCCTTTAAGGGACTCTTTTATCTTAGATTCTAGGTTAAACACATATATCTGTAATAACCTTAATTAATTTACCGATTATTAAGTTCTTTAATAGCTTAAAAAAGCTTTTATAAGCGATATAAAGCTCTAAATTAAAGGCTATAAAAAGGTCTCTTTATAAATATAAATAGAGCTCTTTTAGCTAAAGTAATTAGCCTTTATTTTAACCTTTTATATAAATATAGCCTTATTAAATAGCTTTCTAGAAAAGGGCTATAATTAAAACCTAGCTATAAGAGCTATATTAAAGAATAATAAGGTTATCTTTTATATAAGGCGTTACTTTAAGTAGCTTATTATTAAATTTAATGAAATTTATTAAATTAAAAGCTTTTAATCTAATTTAACGCTACCTTAACCCTAAAAAATAGCCTTTATTAACCTTTAATACTAATAGCTAGGTTACTTAAACGTAAATAGCCTTAAATATTTAATCTAATAGACTATTAGATTAAAGATTTAAGGCCTTATATAAATTAATTATAAAGCCTATTTTAAAGCTAAGGCTAAAAGGGTTATCTCTTATAAAAGCTCTTAAATAATAAGCCTAAGACTCTTTTAAAGGATTTATATTAATATCTTTTAATTTAAGCCTAATTATAATAATAAGTTAATAGCTCTAATAGTTAAAGATAAATTCTTAGGCCTTTTAATAGTTTTTAAGCTTAAAAATACCACTTAAAATACCCTATTATTAGCCCTTTAATTATTTAAGGCTTAAATTTAAAGGTAGTATTAATTAGGTATCTATTAAGTCTATTAAGATAACGATAAAAGCCTTTAAACGGCCTATAAGGTTTAGATTAATTATAAAGGCATTATTAATAAGCTTATATTATCGTATACACCCGCTTAAAACAGCTCTATTAAAAGGTTTAAAGGTATTTTAAGGTTAAAAGCCCGTATAATACAATTAACAGTTAACCTTTTTACTAAGTTATAGCCTAAGATTTAAAAAGCTACTACCTACCTTTATAATCTATTACTATAATAAGGTATAAACTAAAAGACGCTCTTTTAATAGCTTTAATAGTAGCTTTAATTAAATAATCGCGATATAGGTTATTTAAATAAGCCTAATATTACACATTTAATCGCGTATAGTTATAAGGTATATCTAATAACTTAAAAAGCCCTTTAAGGCATTTAAAAACAAGCTTTTAAGATAATAGCCCACGTAAAAATTAACTACCTTATTAAATATAACTCAACTAATATCTTTTATATATGAATTCCATTAAAATTAAAAGTTAAACGAGTTAAAGATATAACCTTTAATAAAAAAACCTTTTATTAAGGCTAAATTCATTAAATTTAATTAAAGAAGCTATAATAGCTTAAATTTCTAACCTATATTAAGTCTAATAATAATAGTAATACTAATAAGGTATAATTTATTATTAAAGTTAACACTTAAAGCCTTTAAGCTAATTAAAAAGAAAGTTAATTATTTAAATCTAATATTTTTAAGAACCTTAAATCTAATATAAGTGGCCCTTATTAAAACCTTTTAACGCTAGCTCTATTAGAGCCTTTTAATTAATTTAAAGGGCCTTAATAGTTATAACGAATTTCTAATAAAGCTCTTAATAGCTTTTATAGTAGTTTTTTAATTAAATGACTTAAAAGGCTATATAAAAGAAGCCTACCACCTAAACCTTAATATTAAAAAGAGCTATAAAAGCACTCTTATAAGCTTAAATTTAAAAAGGCTACTTAAGCTAAATATAATACTCTAACTAGCCTTAAAACCTTTTAACCCGTTTAACCTAATTAAATAAAACGGCTATATTACCTATTACTATTAACTTAAGTATTTAAATATAAATATAATAAATACGAATTCGTTAATAAATTTAAGGCCCGTTTATACGTATGAGATAACCTTTAACTATTAAATAATAAGAAAACCTATATTATAATCTTAGCTAAAAGGTTATTTTTAACCCTAATAGCTATTATAATTAAATTTAACCTTAAAGTTAAGTAGCTTAACGTAGTAAATGCCTTTATAAATAGCTTAATTAATAAAGAAGTTTACGTTAAATTTCCTAAAAGATTTAAAAGGCTTAATTAAATAATAAGGCTACTATAAGCTCTATATAAGCTACGAAAATTAGTCTTATTATAGTAATAGTCCCTTAATAAGACCTTTAAGCTAGAGTATATTAACGTTAAAGGCCTCTTTTAATAGAAAATAACTATAATTTATTAGAGACTCTAATAAGCCTTAAAACACCTTAAATAGCTGCTTTCAAATTATATAAAAAGCCTTAAAAGAAGGCTCGTACTACCACCCTATTAAAGCTAAACCTTTAATAGTTAAATATTATAGAACCCATTAAATTAATTACTTTTTAGGTAACCTGTTAAACGACCTTAATATCTATAAATAAGGGCCTATTTTTCGTACCTAGATAGCTTTGATTTAAAGGATAATTCCACTATTTAATCTGCTTCCATAGCTGTCAACGTAATAGGACACGTCTTGATCCTCATGTCTGATGGCACGAAGATCATCGTTGCGAGTGATTATCTCGTACATGGTGAATAAAGTTCCCTCGATATCATTCCGCGCCTCTGATTATCCCGTCCTTCCGATGCGCGCGGAAAAGTTGAAATCAAAAAGCATCAAGGCATCTGTTGCCTCATGTATGAGGAGGTTCCGCGGCCCGATATCCTGATGAGCAATGCCGAAATTCAGATTCAACTCATCAATAACGTTAATAAGCCGGTGAAGCCATTTAAGCTTAAATGTGCGTGTATTGTTCTCTCCCAGGGTACCCCCGGGGATGTAGACGGTTGTAAAACCAACGAACCGCCCTTCGAGTTCATCCACGACTATGCTATTGAAAGGAACAATGTTTGGGTGCTTGGGCAGACGCATCCATAAACTCATTTCATGCTAGGCAAATAACAGGTGTTAAAAGAGAAAGTAGTATTTGAAGATTAGCTAGACTTGAGTTAGATGTTGGAGAGAAGAGTGGCTTGGACTCACTTGCCTTTTTAGTAAGTTCAGAGGAGTGTGGACATAAAACAAGGTCAACATTTGGACTAAATCTATCAATATCTTTGAGGTCTGCTCTTGAGATGACTTGAACTCCTTCTGGGCGTTGCACACTATCGAGCGGTGGATAGTAGACACACCGCGTCTCGTCAGTCTTTGGATCTGTGGATGTCGATATCAAGTTGCCGTCAGGAGAGACGTGAATGGCGTAGATGTCCGGCGCGAGGCTGTCAATATGCTTCATGAGCTGTTCGATTGCAGGATCCGCTGATTCAAGCTCATCATCCATGGTGACTGAAACGAGCCGTCGTTGGTCCTAGTCGATAACGTACCAGGTGCTTGGGCCTCCAGGGTAAATGACGCCGCTTGTGGCGAAGAATCTATCGTCTGAATCGATCATATTAAACCTAGAAGAAGCCCACGGGGACGGGTCACAACCTCGAGTTGAGGTGGGAGGGCAGCTAGGCTAAGGACCGGTATTTTGTATTTAACTTGGCAAATGAGAGAGGCTGAGAGCCCGAAAAAGACGTGAAATATGCGCAAAAGACAAAGAATCTGGACTGAATGAGAATTATTCCACTATTTGAAGTCTGTAGAAGGACTTGGTGAGGTGAAATGGGGAAAGAATTGTAGGGCAAAAGGCAACTGCGAGGCAATGGAGGACACGACGTGATTTTTTGTGGCTAGCGCATCTGCGAAACTTTTGATTGGGTGCTGGATCTGTTAGAATAGGCGAGTAGTAACGTGGAGATAACGATAACGGGTACTCTAGCGCATGTATATATAGTAGCCTGTAGGATAGTCTCTTTACTTGGAGGTTAAGGGATAAGGTTAATATAATATAACAAATAATACTTTATACTTTTAATAGGTTATAAGCTTAAATAATATACGCTATTATATATAATTATAATAAATAAGGTATAAGCTTTATAATTATTAAATATTATTAAAATTATGAGAAAAATAACTTATTAATAAACTACTTTTTATTTTATTTAATAAAACTATCTATATTAATAATTTTTTACTTTAATACATATATTAGCAACTTAGGACCCTTTCCGGCAAACTCAGACATCGCCATCCTGCAAGCAGCATGTTTGTGCTTCCTTCAAGTTCACATACCGATCCGCCACCTAGCAGTCTTTCAATACCCAAGTAAAATCATTCATCTTGGCAAACACTCTACTATTATAAAACCTATAATCTGAATACTCTAGTTATTGTCAATCTCCATCCTAATACTCGCTGCCTTCACCGAAGAACCGATGCTCAGGATGAATAAAACTTTTGGACCGATAACATTTGAAACAAAGGCGGTATACCTCGCACTCATAGCACCTGTAGTATACACCAACTAGAAGCTGCCAGACAGTATTAATTACTACCAGCCACTACCGCCCCAAACCAGCTTTCCTAACTTGGAGTAGACACTTACAGTCAGACATGCGTCACAATAATCAAGTTTGCTGTAAACTCTGGCCTTTTTGGCATTCCGGGACCAAATCTCCCACCTTTGTCTTCTAGGTCCGCTGTCGTCTCTGCCTCTTGTCTCCAAGAACTCGACAATTTCAGCAGGCAGACCATAGTGCCTCGCAAGTTTCAAAGCGTCCCACTTCTGATCAAGTCCTAGGCCCTCCACATATAAATCCGCGCCATTTTCCAGGAGTGTTTTTAGGATATCGAACCTCTGAGTCGGTGCGTTCAGCACTCCGGGGCATTCTCGCATGCTCCAAAGTAGAGGTGTCCAATGATCTGCGTCCTGGGCGTTGACGACATCTTCACCTCTCTCCCTAGCTTTCTCTAGTATGGACTGAACCAAATCGAGTTCGCCACAGAGAACTGCATGATGAAGAGGACCTCTCCCCATTTTGTCAGGCACAAACAGATCAGCACCGAACTCAGGCTTGCAAAGAAGCTCGACTGCATCTTTTCCTTGATATAGGGCAAAGTGAATAGCTCTGCGGCCAATCATGTCCTCAGCGTCGACTTTTGCTCCCTTTTTTCGTAATGTCTTGGCGACATCAAATTCGAGGTTGAGAACTGCTAAATTCAGGGGCCCTCCCCACCACATGCTGCTTACAGTTGGGTCGGCTTTATTCTCGGCATCCTCGAGTAAGTATTTTATGATGCTATCCTTTTCCTCACCTGGATTCCGTTGCAGGGCTGCATGGAGTGGACTCCCAAAAATTCCTGGATGGATGATGTTTGTGTCTGCTCCGTGCTTACACAGCAACTTGACCATCTCGAACGAAGCGAAGACGCAGGCAAGTATTAGCGGTCCGCCAAACGGCCCGCCGTCAGTGTTGACCATGGCGCCATTAGAGATCAGGAATAGAGTAATTTCCACGTTGTTGTCCCATACTGCTTTGCAAAGAGGCGTGTAACCGTCCTTTGCAGGACTATTCACGTTTGAGCCTCTACGAACGAGTGATTTGATGATTGAATCGTCAGGTCTCCTCGTCTGAAAGTCAGTGGCGCAGTTTAGAACAGAATTACCGCATCTGTCTTTTGCTTCTTCCAGATTTATGCCATACTCTAAAAGCATTCTCACTATGGCGGCGTTGCCCCTTTGGACAGCCTTGATTAACTGATCAGTCCCTCTGGATGGAAGCTTGCGGGGATCTGCCCCAGCATCCAGGAGACGACGGACGGCTGCGGCTTGATCTTTGATAATGGCCTGATTCAGAGCCTTTTGTTTGACATCTGGTTCGACCTTGTCTCCCGCTTCTAGCAACGCCTCAAGAACGGCATCGCAGCTAGCCGAAGACGCAAATAAGATCGGGGTATTCCCTTTATGTGTCCTGGCGTTTACATCAGCTCCATTCTGTAACAATAGGCGAATGACATCAGCGTTGGCGCAACCAGCATGAACTGGCCGCCATCCCTGTTCATCTTCCGTTTCTACATCTGCTCCTGCTTCGATCAAGATTCGGGCAATCCTGACGTTTCCGCAGCTAGCTGCCTGATGTAGTGGTGTCCGCCCGCATTGATCCTTATTTTTGAGAGGAACTTGAAGGCGAACTAAGAAGCGCACGACATCTTCTCGGTCATGTGAAATGGCGAGATTGAGGGCGTTCCCGAGTGCTAAATTAGTTTTCGCTGGCAAGCACTCCCCGCCGCCGTGTGTAACAATAGCTTCAATGGCTTGTAATGGGTATTCTTGTGTAATTGCCTCCGTAAGAAAGCCCGAATACCTCTCTAAGAAAAACCCGGAATCACTCTGCAACATGTCGCAATACACTGGTCCGACTCCAGATCTCATTGCTTTTTTCATGGCCTCAGCATAAATATCATATTTTGGGTTGACCGAGTTTTGGATGTAATTCCACGTGATATTCCAGCATTTGACATGTCCGGTATCGATGACTGTATTTACCATTGACATTGCGACGTCTGCCTCGATATTATGTAATTTTCGAGACTTCAAGAGACAGTCTAGAGCACGATAATTCCCAAATTCGATGGCAAGCTTGGCGGCTGTGTCGTAACGATTCGTCGCCTCGTTCTGTGAGGCTTCATCGCTCGTTAGGAAGCTGACGATTTCAACCTGTCCATATTTACACGCGAGTTCCAACAGCCTGGCATTGTCTGTATGTGTGGAGGAGATGTCACAGCAGACGACAAGCAGCTTTACCGCTTCGAGATTCCCCCTTATGCAAGCGTATTGTAGAGCTGAATGTTCTGGAACTAGAGCATTCTTCAAGCCTGTAGCGGTGGCCAATGTAAGGAGCATTTGAACAATCGTTATCGCTCCCACTGAAGACGCTCGATGAAGGAGAAGATTGACGTCTTGAATTCTCTGAGGGCGTTCAAGGCCAAATTTCACCGCTTCAATCGCCACTTGGGTGTTCCTTGACTGGATTGCGGAGAGGATCACGTTATCCAAGGCCTGAAACGACGAAGTTGAATGTTTAAGCAACTCGAGAACCGTGTTCAACTCACCATTTCCGGCTGCAGCTTCTAGAGACTGTGTGACCTCTTGGTGAAAGTGTTCGTCGGATGCTTCTGGTGATCTCATGCCAATGACTTCAGGTAATGCTCTAGAAAGACCGTGGCTTGCGACGATTGTCATGGGACTGCCTCTTTCAATACTACCCCGTGTGAAAGGGTTTTGGAGGGCCCAGCGCATACTTGCCCAAGCACCCACTACCCAGGTATTCTTCCAGAAATTCTCTGATTGATGAGTGCTGTATAATTTTCCGGCCTCGGAGAGCTCAGCGTGGCTGAGACACCATCGCACGGCATAGTTCAGAAAGCTCTTCCGCCATTCCACCGCAAAAACCGCTTTATGTGAACGACGATACGCTCTGATAGATTCTCTGCTCCGGGTGCTCATGAATTCGAAGCACATGTTTGCAATCTCCTCATGAGCCTGCTCCTGTGATGATTTAAACGGTGATTTATCCGATAAAAGATACCTGCGAAGGCTGGGGTGAGCCAACTGAACCTCAATTTTGTTGATTTGCACTAAGCCACGTAGAGGTATCTGAATTCTGGGGTGTAATCTTAGGCTAGGAGAGCTCTCCCATTTTGCAGGCTGAGATTCCTCGCCCCATCCAGCCAGTTCATTAAGCTCCGACACGCTAAGTGGTCGGAAGGAATAGATTAACAGATTCAAAATGTTGCTTAGAAACCGGTCCATCGGCACAGGTAAAAATGACAGAATGGCTTTGAATACGCTTTCGGGTGTCACGGCAGATGATGATGGAATCTGCGCAACTAACCGATCGATGGATGAACTCGAACTTCGGGCTTGATACCAATCCACAACCATCATGCGCAGGTCTTTGTCCTCTTTGCATTCTCGCAAGAGATGAGAGAGATCGATGTAATCACTTTCGGCTCTGGAGCCCGCGCGCGCGAGCCTTAACAGCTCGAATTCGACGTCAAGATCTTCAACAGCCGCCGGTTTGAACATGGTCTCTATATCCTCCGTGAGGCATGTTTGAGCCGATTCTTTGCCGTTGTCCTCGTTTCTAGCAAAGGTATCATTTTCAGCTGCTACCACGGCGTCAAGGCTGCTTGTTTCGATCTTGGGCTTCTCCTCAGCATTGACGCAAAGTTGTGGCCAGAGTGCCATTTCTCCGGGCTGCGCATCCTTCAAAGTTGTGACCAAAAGCTTGAGATTGAGCTCGCACTCCTCAGCCAGCTTATTCAAGTTCGTCAAGAACCAGTCGCAAGAGGTTATGCCTTCTTCCAGGCCCCCTAACATAATAATAACACCTGTATCTGAGGCTCCTAGATTCAGCATCATTTCCATGAAGAATGCAAATAAATCGTCTCGGTTCCACCATTTATATTGTTCAAAATTGCGGAATATCTTTCGACAGGCGCTGGTTATATTTTCCCGAGCAGCACCTTCGTAACGCCGGGAAGTAATCTGTGCCAAAACGGTATAGAGCATAGATTCGATTGAATTCCGCCGAACGTCAGAAGACGAAAACTCAAAGTAAAGGCAAACTGAGCTCTGCGAACTTGATTTCCCCCTCTTGCTCACATAATGGAATAGGCATTCTGCAGCTTGAGCGGCGATCTTGCCAGAACTAAGAGGAAGCGCGAGGCGCTCCAACCCGTTACCTCTTTGCCAGTCCTGGAACATTTGTTGGCTAGTGATCTTTTCAACTTGTCCGGAACATTTTACCGGCGACTCTAGTGGAAATTGCGGAGGCGCCTGCGAGGCGAGAGATAGAATGTACCATCCACCATTATATTCTGCATATGTTGATCAGTACATCACTCAGGCTTGGGGAACATTGCCATTAACTGACCCCCAGGCCACGACTCTGATTTCAACAGACTTTCAATGCAAATATTTGGCATCTCAAATGCCATATCGATATGTGATAATTTGGTAGGTGTGGGGGCCTCGGAAGGAAGCGACATAGTTGTTACATACTCGTCGAACACCTGGTGTTTGGAGTTATTATCGGGTCCCATCGAAGTTTCGCACATCGACTTGTTATAAAGGGGTTCGAGTCTTACCCTCATAGTAGGATCTTCATGGCACGAAAATACACTGATCAAGTTGGCCCATATTGTCAATCTCGACTCCGCAAAGGCGAAGTTGACTTCTTGTATCCAGTCCGCAATGCTACCAGTAATAGCCCAAGCATTTTCCTCGTTCATACAGGGAGAGTTTTTGGGGAGGAGTAGCTTGATCAAATCTCTTCTGAGTTTATACGTTCCATAGCTTCGATGAGGGCAGCCAAGGAATACCTTTGTTTTGTCAGTCGCCATGTTCAATTTTGTTCTTGACAAGTTTGCCTCACTATTGCAATGATTTTGGTGAAAATACAGCCATATCTCTCAACATTCTGCACTGCGAGAACTAATGCCTAAGCAAGTAAAAGTCAAATCATGGACTCATTGGCCAGTGGGGCGGAAGTTGTCATACTTCTTTGATCAAAGTACCACCGACATCATGGCCGATGAAAACGAGACGATTTTCCTATCGTAATCGTGTTAGATTTTGTTAATGATCTGACCGAAGTACAGTTAATCTAAGGTGGCCGTTGTGGAAGCATAGTGACACTTGGTGATACTCGGCGATACTATTCCACCCATATGGGGAACAAACCTGTGCATCATTCTTCCTCAAATCCATCAAAGCGTCGAGTAGCCTGAGCGCTTGAAGTCTTGCGCCACTTCTAGTGAAGATGCCTCCGCGTTCGTCTAAAACGGGGTAGTTGTACGAGGAAACTCGACTTTTGGGGATATGCTTGGTGGATATTTCGGGGAGCCAACTTGATCTCACGTTGTCCTTGGAGGAGCTCCAGTAATTCCATTGAGCCCTTAACAATCCAGGGACGGCTACAACACTTCAGAGAATTAGTAGGCTAATGTATTTTATATGGAACGAAAAGGAAAAAAGATGGACATCTAGAGGGCACCGGGCACCGGAGACACGAACTCAACTAAAATTCCGGCTTGGCCCTTTGCTAGGATGTTCAAACCTTGGGTATGCTTTTCCATGGCTATTTGCTGTGAAATTCGATAGCTGAGTATTTCGATCACGGGAAGCCCATGACGGATTCTAGAAAGTCTTGTTCGAGAACAGCTGGATATCTGCTGATCGGTCCTAGTATCCCAACATATTCTCGAGTATCAAGACGGTGAAAGTCAGGGGGTTGGTAAGACGGCTGTTACTGCGTAGTTGTTTGCCAATTCACCAAGCTAACCAGTCAGGCACCTCCATTCCGTAATGTACCAAGCCCTGTTCGTAACGCTTGACCTTACTCTATGTAGCAAGTGATGCGCAACTGATAAGCGCCGTGGTGACAGCCAGAGTCGGGCCACATCTGGTCGAAGGCCATGCTTTGTTACGAGCTCATTCATGGCCAAAGGGGGAAGACAAAAGACATCAATGATCAAACAGACCCACACGCACATCGCGCGCGACTGCCCAACGCGCCCCCTTTGTTGCCCTGCACTTTGACCAGGCATTTCTTGTTTTTTTTTTTTTTTTTTTTTCAAAAAAAAAGA